TAGCCTGCCTACTATCCATCCTGGGTTTAACCAGGCTGGATTGTGTGAGGAGCTCACAAATCCTTGAAAGATCTGGGCAAGGTCCCATCGGTGAGCTCTTCCGGCAGGCAAGGCTGCGTTGGCTGGGTCATGTAGCCCGCATGCCCAGCCACCGCATGCCGAAACAGCTTTTGTTCGGCCGGATCGAGGGGGCTAAACGGGCGCGGCACGGGCTAGAGAAGAGATGGAGTGATGTGGTCCAGGAGGACGTGGAGCTGAGTGGACTGCCGATGACTGGTACCAGCGGTGTCAAGATCGGCCTCTGTGGAGGAGGCTCGTGAAGGACGCTACTGGGCAGTTGGAGGCAGTCGCCCTCCAACAACAACGGAGGGTGGAGGAGCGACGCTCACAACAACGAGCGGAGCGCCGGGTGGCTAAAGCACAGCAGGTTGGCACAGTAGGGGGCACAGGTGGTGCATCAGCCAGTCATCTCCGTCAGTCGACCCGTGGCACCTGGGTCTGCCCCGTGACCTCCTGCCAGCGGGCGTTCGACACTTCACGTGGCCTCAAAGTGCACATGGCCTGGCACAAGCGTCGTGGTGACGTCACCGCCACTTAGTGGCGAATTGCGGTTGTTGTTGTTTGTGTGGGTGTGTGTGGGTGCGTTGGGTGCGTGCGTGGGTGCGTGTGTGGCCACGGGGGTAAGGGGGGGTTACGTGGGGGAAGAGGTACGAGGGGAGGAGTAAGCAGCACGCGTACACAGAATGAATGGAGATGAATGGAGAATGAATGGAGAATGAATGGAGAATGAATGATGTACGTACGTTGGACTTATTTTGCACCGTACGTAGCCAACCGTGCTCATGGAATGCATGGGGAATGAAGAGGAAGGAGGAACGAATGAGGAAGGAATGAGGATTGACTGTGCGCGTGGCGTTGCACAGCAGAGCTCGCTGGGTGGAGCGAGGAGGAGGAGGAGGGGGGCGGAGGAGGAGCGGGAGGGGGGCGGGGGCAGGAAGACGGCGCTCGTCATCGGCGGAGGGAAAAAACCCTCGGCGACTTTCGTGAGTAGCATCACCACCATCATCATCATCACCGCCATCATCATCACCATCATCATCACCGCCATCATCATCACCATCATCATTACCATCATCATCATCACCATCATCATCACCGCCATCATCATCACCATCATCAACAACATCATCATCACCATCAACCAACAACAACAACATCATCATCATCATCACCATCAACCACACCCGTCATTGTTGGAGGGTGTGGGTGGAGGGTCTGGGGGGAGACAGAGAGAAGAACTTCTAAGTGTCTGCAGTAATTGGGCGCGTGTTGTGCATCTCTCTCGCCATCGTCAGCGTGGTTCATGGTGGTGGTTGTCTGCGTGCGTTGCCGCAGGACTGCGTGACGTCGCGCTGCCTGAATCTGCTTTGTCCGCTCGACGGGCTCACGGGCGCTGGCACGGTGACGCTGCGCACACGCGTCTGGAACAGCACCTTCCTGGAGGTGAGATGCCTCCAGCACCACCAGCAGCACCACCACCACCACGGCCACCGCCGCCAGCACCTCCAACACCGCCAGTACCGCCAACACCATCAGCACCACCACCACCGCCAGCACAACCAACACCACCAGCACCACCAACACCACCATCACCACCGCCAGCACCACTACCAGCACCACCAACACCGCCAACACCATCACCACCGCCAGCACCGCCACCGCCAACACCACCAACACCACCATCACCACCGCCAGCACCACCAACACCACCAGCACCACCACCGCCAACTCCACCAACACCACCAGCATCACCAACACCACCAGCACCGTCACCACCAGCATCACCAACACCACCAGCACCATCACCACCGCCAGCACAACCAACACCACCAGCACCATCACCGCCAGTACCACCAGCACCACCAGCACCGTCACCACCGCCAGCACAACCAACACCACCAGCACCATCACCAGCACCACCAACACCACCAGCACTGCCACCACCGCCACCACCACCCGCACCACCAAAGCAAATAAAGAAACCTCATATAGCCTGGACAGACTGTAGGGGCAAGCAAGCAGCACCTATGAAGGCCAGCACCATGTCCAGCCGCCTTGGCCTCCCCGCACCAGGTACTCGTTTAAGGCTGAGTTAACCTAGGGGAGGGCCAGGACTTGTTCAGATAATCATCTTTGGTGTTAGCCGTGAGCGGGAAACGAACTCGGGTTGCTGGGTTTGTAGCGCGGTGTGCTAACCGCTACGACACACGTGAGTGTGTACGTGCGTACGTGAGTGCGTGAGTGAGTGCGTGAGTGTGTGTGTGTGAGTGTGTGCGTGTGTGTGTGAGTGAGTGCGTGAGTGTGTGATGAGTGCGTGCATGATGAGTGAGTGCGTGTGTGTGTGAGTGAGTGCGTGAGTGAGTGTGTGTGTGATGAGTGCGTGCATGATGCGTGCGTGATGAGCGAGTGCGTGAGTGACCGCGTATGTGTGTGCGTGAGTGAGTGCGTGCGTGTGTGAGTGAGTGTGTGAGTGAGTGTGTCCATGAGTGCGTGAGTGCGTGAGTGAGTGTGTGAGTGAGTGCGTGAGTGTGTGCGTGAGTGTGTGCATGAGTGAGTGCGTGAGTGAGTGCATGAGTGTGTGTGTGAGTGAGTGTGTGAGTGAGTGTGTGTGTGAGTGAGTGTGTGTGAGTGAGTGTCTGATTGATTGTGTGTTTGAGTGAGTGAGTGAGTGTCTGAGTGAGTGAGTGTGTGAGTGAGTGTGTGAGTGAGTGAGTGTCTGAGTGAGTGAGTGTGTGAGTGAGTGAGTGTGTGAGTGTATGAGTGAGTGAGTGTGTGAGTGAGTGAGTGTGTGAGTGAGTGTCTGAGTGAGTGAGTGTGTGAGTGTCTGAGTGAGTGTCTGATTGAGTGAGTGTCTGAATGAGTGAGTGAGTGTCTGAGTGAGTGAGTGTGTGAGTGAGTGAGTGTCTGAGTGAGTGAGTGTGTGAGTGAGTGTCTGAGTGAGTGAGTGTGTGAGTGTCTGAGTGAGTGAGTGAGTGTGTGAGTGAGTGTCTGAGTGAGTGAGTGTCTGATTGAGTGAGTGTCTGAATGAGTGAGTGAGTGTCTGAGTGAGTGAGTGTGTGAGTGAGTGATTGTCTGAGTGAGTGAATGTGTGAGTGAGTGTCTGAGTGAGTGAGTGTGTAAGTGTCTGAGTGAGTGAGTGTCTGATTGAGCGCGTGTCTGAATGAGTGAGTGAGTGTCTGAGTGAGTGCGTGAGTGTGTGAGTGTGTGAGTGAGTGTGTGAGTGTCTGAGTGAGTGAGTGAGTGTCTGAGTGAGTGAGTGCGTGAGTGTGTGAGTGTGTGAGTGAGTGAGTGTCTGAGTGAGTGAGTGTATGAGTGAGTGAGTGTCTGATTGAGTGAATGAGTGAGTGTGTGAGTGAGTTAGTGTGTGTGTGAGTGTGTGAGTGAGTGAGTGTGTGAGTGAGTGTGTGAGTGAGTGTGTGAGTGAGTGTAACAGTGAGTGAGTGTAACAGTGAGTGAGTGTAACTGTGAGTGTAACAGTGAGTGAGTGTGTGTGTGAGTGGGTGAGTGTAACAGTGAGTGAGTGTAACAGTGAGTGAGTGTGTGAGTGAGTGAGTGTGTGAGTGAGTGAGTGTGTGAGTGAGTGTAACAGTGAGTGAGTGTAACAGTGAGTGAGTGTAACAGTGAGTGTGTGAGTGAGTGTAACAGTGAGTGAGTGTGACAGTGAGTGAGTGTGTGAGTGAGTGTAACAGTGAGTGAGTGTAACAGTGAGTGAGTGTAACAGTGAGTGTGTGAGTGAGTGTAACAGTGAGTGAGTGTGACAGTGAGTGAGTGTGTGAGTGAGTGTGTGACTGAGTGAGTGTGTGAGTGAGTGTAACAATGAGTGAGTGTAACAGTGAGTGAGTGTAACAGTGTGTGAGTGTAACAGTGAGTGAGTGTAACAGTGAGTGAGTGTAACAGTGAGTGTGTGAGTGAGTGAGTGTAACAGTGAGTGAGTGTAACAGTGAGTGTGTGAGTGAGTGTAACAGTGAGTGTAACAGTGAGTGAGTGTAACAGTGAGTGAGTGTAACAGTGAGTGAGTGTAAAAGTGAGTGAGTGTAACAGTGAGTGAGTGAGTGTAACAGTGAGTGAGTGTAACAGTGAGTGAGTGTGTGAGTGAGTGTAACAGTGAGTGAGTGTAACAGTGAGTGAGTGTAACAGTGTGTGAGTGAGTGTAACAGTGAGTGAGTGTAACAGTGTCTGAGTGTATGTAACAGTGAGTGAGTGTAACAGTGTGTGAGTGAGTGTAACAGTGAGTGAGTGTAACAGTGTCTGAGTGAGTGAGTGTGTGAGTGAGTGTAACAGTGAGTGAGTGTAACAGTGTCTGAGTGTATGTAACAGTGAGTGAGTGCTTGCCCGCGTGCTAACGTTGTCTTCCTCACGCCGTTCCGCAGGATTACATCAAATACGAGAACATGGAGTTGTTCGTCACGGCCGGCATCATCTTCAGAGCCAAGAACCCCAACGTGAAGATGCCGGACGTGACCCCAATCAGGGTGAGCGAGCGGAGGGGGGTGGGGGTTCCGTCCCTGATCCTTCAGTTCTCTCGAGCTCACGATGGGTGGGGCGGTGGAGCAGCGTAGGCATTGGTTAAGTCCCAAGCGCGCACGACGACCCGCCAGTAAAATTGCAACCGGCATCAACGGGCGGCAGACAGATTTTTCTCTCCCCAACACGCCTGCTGGCGCTGTAGCAGCAACGAACCGGCATGCCGTGTTTACGTGACGGACCTTGCTGGCTGGCTGTGCCGGATGTTGGCGGGGTTAACGGCACGTTCAGGTATTTACGCGATCTAACCCAAAAACGAAAAAGAAACCCCCTGCATTATGGACAATGGCGGTGATGATGATGGTGATGACGACGACGACGACGACGATGATGTTGAAAGAAAAAAAAATTAAAAAAATAAAAATGCGCGTTCAAAGAGTCGTTGACCAGCCCGGTCTCCGCGCAGGTGCGTCTCACGCTGGACCCCGACGGCACGGTGACCCCGGCGGCGCCCGTCCCCTGGTGGGTCATCGCCCTCTCGGTCGCCGCAGGTGTCTTCGTGCTCCTGCTGCTCGTCGTGCTGCTGTGGAAGGTGAGCAGCCAGCGGCGGCCGGCACCACGGCGGCGAGATGTCGACCACCTCGCCTGGTGTGCAGGGAGCGCAAAGCTCCGGCGGATTCACAACGATAGCGAAGAAAATGGGACGTCCTTTGGGCGCTTCGGCAAGGTCGCGTGGACGGGGTTTCGGAGGAAATGACGGGGGGGGAGGGGAGGGGGAAATAACAAGCAAGCAAAAAAATCTTCGGAACGTTTTTCGATCGCAACACGAGGCGTTTCGTCGTCAGTATGACGACGGAGCGGTTTGTGATGCGGTCGGGAAAACGTTCGTAAGTTTTTTGTTGTTGTTGTTATTTTTTGCTTCGTTTATTTTTTCTTTGAACGCATCCACGTGACCTTGCCGAAGCGGCCAAAGAATATGAATTCCTTGCAGCCACGAAAGCTTTCAGCCAACGCTCGAAGAAATGGAACGCGCGGTCTCGTTAAGTGGCGGTGAGGGCACGTGCGAGCGGGCCTGCAGAATCGCCGCCAACCCCCCTCCTAGACCACGAAGATTCACTCAAGGGGGCATTCGATCGATTAGCGGGCGCCGCGGCGGAGAGATGTTAACTACCTCGCCCGGTGCACGGGAGCTCGTGGGTTCGATCCCGACCCTGGCGCCCGGTTTTGCGGTGTCTCTCTCTCTCTCCCCGCGGTCGCGTTGATTTTTCTCCGGGTCCTCCGCTTTTCTCCTTCCACCCGTCCACCGCGTCCCACGTGACGATGATGGTGATGAGCCAGCTCCGTTGAGCTCCCATTGGTGATATCCAAGTCGCTCCTGAAAAAGGGGCTACGCAGTTCAGCGGCGCCTTACCTGCTAAAATAAAGTCGAGTCCGTTCGTCTCCTTCCGGGTCAAAGAGCGGTTCGATCGCTCGATTGAGTGTCGAGGCGTCGGCCGATCAACGTCCTGGTCGACCGCACAGTCCTGACTTAGCCCCGCGGTGGACATTATGCGTTACTGCGGCGGGGACGAGTCTATCCGTAGGGCACAACGCCGCTGACTTCACCACAAAGTGGTACGAAATGTATAGGCCCCTGAGGGATGATGGGCTGAGCCAACCTACCCCCCCCCCCCCCGACCAGGATTTGAACTCGCACCGTTCCCGATTGTGAGCAGCCCCAGGTAGTAGGTGCGGCCAGAACGATGCCCGGCCGCCTTTGTCTCCCCAGTGCTGATATTTACACACCACACCAGGCACTCGTTTGAGGCCGGGTCCACCTAGAGGGGGGCCTTGGACCGGTTCAAATCTTCGCCACTCACCACTGCACCACCGCTCCCCATGTACACGCGCAATACAAAGACAAAGATCCCCTGTGTAGCCTCAACAGGCTGTAGGAGCAAGTGCTGTTAGCGAGCACCGATAAAGGCCGATACGGCGCACTAGGGGGCGGGTGGCCAGCACCGCCTTTTGTCTCCCCTAGCGGCGGTGTTTACACACCTCGCCAGGCACTCATTTGAGGCTGAGTCGACCTAGGGGAGGACCGGTTCAGCACCGGTTTCAGATAATCGCCAGCGGCGTTGCACGCGCGAGCGGGGACTCGAACTCGGGTTTCCGGGGTTCGTAGCGCAGCGCGCTGACCGCTACACTACCGCTCCCCACACGCACACACGCACGCACACACGCGTACACACACACACGCACGTGTATACACACACACGCACAGGTAAAGATGCTACAGCATGTGCAGGACAATGCACGTCAGCGGCGTTCAATCATTTTGCGTGCGACCGCACGTTGCTGTGTTTCACGGCGGTGTGGAACACGTGGGGGGAGTCTTTGTCTGTGAGCGCGTGTGTACGTACGACATTGCCATTTATTGTTTCATTCGTTTTAATTTGTGTTTTTTTTGTTCGTTTCTGTATTTGTACGACGTGCGTGAATCCCATCGCCACCCCCTCGCTGCCATTCACTAACACCCATCGCCTCCTAACACACGCGCGCTCGCTCGCACGCTCGCACGCGCACACACACGTTGACTCAAACACACACACATTCACTCGCACACACACATTCACTCGATTCACTCGCACACACATTCACTCGCACACACACACACATTCACTCACACACACACATTCACTCGATTCACTCGCACACACATTCACTCGCACACACACACACATTCACTCGATTCACTCGCACACACATTCACTCGCACACACACACACACATTCACTCACACACACAAATTCACTCGATTCACTCGCACACACATTCACTCGCACACACACACACATTCACTCACACACACACATTCACTCGATTCACTCGCACACACACATTCATTCGATTCACTCGCACACACATATTCACTCGCACACACACACACTCACTCGCACACACACACATTCACTCGCACACACACATTCACTCGCACACACACACATTCACTCGCACACACACACACATTCACTCACACACACACATTCACTCGATTCACTCGCACACACATTCACTCGCACACACACACACATTCACTCGATTCACTCGCACACACATTCACTCGCACACACACACACACATTCACTCACACACACAAATTCACTCGATTCACTCGCACACACATTCACTCGCACACACACACACATTCACTCACACACACACATTCACTCGATTCACTCGCACACACACATTCATTCGATTCACTCGCACACACATATTCACTCGCACACACACACACTCACTCGCACACACACACATTCACTCGCACACACACATTCACTCGCACACACACACATTCACTCGCACACACACACACATTAACTCGCACACATATTCACTCGCATACACACGCGCACACACACACACGTTTGCTCTCACACGCGCGCACACATAAACAACGCACACACACGCATTCCTCGGTTCTCACGCACGCACACACACACGCACGCACACACGCATGCATACCTGCACGCGCACACCAACACATTCACAAATACATAAACGCGCACGCACACACGCGCACCCACACGCAATCACACTCACGCACACGCACACACGCACGCACACACGCAAACACGCACACACACACACCCACACACATACACGCACACACGCACGCACGCACGCACACGCACACACACACGCACACACGCACACACACACGCACACACACACATTCACTCGCACACACACACATTCACTCGCACACGCACGCACGCAGTGTGGATTCTTCAAGCGGACAAGCAAGGAGATGCGCTATGAGGCCAAGCTGCACAAGGCAAAGATCGGCGCACAGCCCTCGGAGACCAACAGGCTCACGGCGGAGGAGGACATTTAGCCCCCCCCACCCTGGCCCCCCCCACTCCCTCCCCCCAAACATCTCGGTAACTCCGCATCATCCTGCATTTCATTTCCCTGTTCGTTTGCCTTTAATTTCGTTTTGTTTGACCTCTTCCTGCTCGGCGTCTGCCCGTTGGTTTGTGCCCGCTGGCACGTGTTCGCTCGCCCGTCGGTCCGCGAGCGATTGAGAGTGAGCGAGATGAGAGGAGAGGTAGGAGAGTGCGTGGAGGGGAGTGGAGTGAGATGAGAGGGGAGAGGCAGGAGAGGGCGTGGAGGGGAGTGGAGTGAGATGAGAGGGGAGAGGGCGTGGAGGGGAGTGGGGTGAGATGAGAGGGGAGGAGAGAGCGTGGAGGGGAGTGGAGTGAGATGAGAGAGGAGAGGCAGGAGAGGGCGTGGAGGGGAGTGGAGTGAGATGAGAGGCAGGGGAGTGTGTAGAGGGGAGTGGAGTGAGATGGGAGGGGAGAGGCAGGAGAGGGCGTGGAGGGGAGTGGAGTGAGATGGGAGGGGAGAGGTAGGAGAGTGCGTGGAGGGGAGTGGAGTGAGATGGGAGGCGACTCGGCATCGGTGGAGGGATTGGAGGATTAGGTTACGTGGTCTTGTTTATGAAATCGGCCTGCAGCTCGTTCGCGAGTGGATGCCTCACGAGACCACATGTGGCCTCTCACCGCAAGCAAGAGATCACCGTGGCCAATGCTGTCGATCGCACCGCACCCATCCACCGCATCCCATCCATCACAGCCATCCCGGCTATCTCAGGTCAACTCTTACAGCCTCGTCGCCACTGAGATACAAATTTAACTTCGTTGGTTCTTTCGGTAAAGCAACGTAGAATGAGAATAAAAGAATAAATTGATAAAATAACTATTTTATTATTTTGTTCTCATTCTACGTGACTTTACTGAAAGAACCAAAGAAGATGAATCCAATGCCCGTCTCGATCAGAATCAGAATACATGTTTATGCTGGAGGAATCCGATGAACTCTAAAGCACTTTCTTTTTACAGACGCTCCAGCCGGGCGCGGGGTCAGAACGGTGCAAAAACATAGAATACAAAAACCAGCCTCCTCGACGCTTCGCCATTCCATTCCGTCCCGCGACAGCGTAGAGCCCCGAGGGCATCCACGCACACTCGCGGTAGCGCCTAGAGCCCCGAGGGCATCCACGCACACTCGCGGTAGCGTAGAGCCCCTGGGGCATCCACGTACACTCGTGACAGTGCAGAGCCCCGGGGGCATCCACGCTCACTCGCGGTAGCGCAGAGCCCCTGGGGCATCCATGCACACTCGCGACAGTGTAGAGCCCTGGGGGCATCCACGCTCACTAGCGGTAGCGCAGAGCCCCGAGGGCATCCACGCTCACTCGCGGTAGCGTAGAGCCCCGGGGGCATCCACGCTCACTCGCGACAGTGTAGAGCCCCTGGGGCATCCACGCTCACTCGCGGTAGCGTAGAGCCCCTGGGGCATCCACGCTCACTCGCGGTAGCGTAGAGCCCCTGGGGCATCCACGCTCACTCGCGGTAGCGGGGTCGAACCGCTGGATGAGCTCACGTGGGTCCAACTGCGGTCGCTCCAGGAGCCCACAGTGCACCACGGATATGCTTGCAGAGTGACGGCCCTAAAGGAAATACATTCTACACTTTTTGTTCTATTTTACCAGGGTATAAGGCCCGCTGAGCCATATAGATGTTTTTTCAGAATATATGTTGAGCTTCTTTCCCGCCGTACGTAGCCAACAAGGGCAGCAAACTAAACGCAAAGAGCAGTTCTAGAGAAATTCGCTCTCACTGTAGATGATTTAAAAGTGCATGGCTCCCAGTGGCTACCTAATATCGGAAGAGCGTTCCAGACGGCCGCAGAAGCGCGTCTAAAAGCGTCTTGGTTTCGAAATGGTAGCTCAATGAAGTGGCCTATCACGTGGAAATTGATAGCAGCCAAACAATCTTAAACGCGTGATGTCGATTCCAAATGCAGCGGGGGAAAACGGGAGTATCCGGAGAAATATCCACACGACCGCGGGGGGAGAGACAGAGAGAGAGAGAGAGAGACACGCAAACTCAAAAATATACAACAGGCCGTCAGGGGTCAGGGGTCAGGGTGGAACCCACGACCTCCTGCATACCAGGCGAGGGAGTTAACATCTCTCCAACGCGGCGCCCCCTAATCGGTCGAATGCCCCCTTGAGTTGACCTCGTGGTCTAGGAGGGGGGCGGCGGTGATTCTGCAGGCCGCTCGCCCGTGTCCTGACCGCCACTTAGCAGACCGCACGTTCAAATTATTGTATTGTTACTGGGAAGCCACTGGAGCGATGCACTTTTAAATCTCGATTGAAGGCTCATTTCTTCAGAACTGATTTTCGTGATTAGTTTGTTGTCCTTCCCCCTGCACCTCCGATTAGCACGGTTGACTACGTACGGTGCGAAAGAAGTTCAGCATACATATTTTAAAATCTCTTCGTCCCCGGTTGTCAAATGATTTCCCGCTCAAATAAGCCAGTGGATGGAAATTCCACATCCCCATGGCAGGGGCCAGTCTGCCTGTATATCTGGAGTTTGCACGTTCTCCTCCGATGTTGCATTGATTTTTTTTCCGGGTCCTCTGGTGTTTCCCCACCACATTTAAAAGCATATGTCGAGCGGATTTAGCTGCTATATATTTCCACACGATAAGCCACTTCGATGAGCCATAAATTGTGGCCAGTTCGCTTCTGAAAAAGAGATATGTAGCTCAGCGGGCCTTACCTGGTAAAATATATTTTTTTAAATAGTTCCTAGTTTTATTCACAAGACAACTGCTGTTGACTTCCCCACAAAGTGGTACCTGTTTTGTCGACTCCGGAGGAAGGGATGATGGGCCGCCCGCTGTGCCGCGGTCACGCTAATCTCGCTCGTTCCGCTCCCTTGCCAGGCAGTGCGCGGAAACCGATTTTTTTTCTTCCCGGTTAACTAAAAGGAGCTTCCAGCACGTGGAACGAAACGTCGGACGTCGTGCCGAACAACGGGCGGCAGAACCCAGCTTCATGAAGCTGGGGTGTTGTTGTTGTTGTGGTGGTGGCGGCGGCAGCGGCGGTGGTGCTCTCTTCCAGAGCGAGCTAACGCTGTGTGGCGGTGACGCACTGTTATTGTTGTGACGATGTCACGTCTCACCTTGCCCGTACCGCCCCCCTCCCCTCCCCTGATCGCAGTGTGGCTTCTTCAAGCGCCCGTCCCCCTACGCGCACATGCCCAAGTACCAGGCGGTGCGCATCCGCAAGGAGGAGCGCCAGCGCGGAGTCCCCCGGCCCGACAGGCCGGCGCCGCGGCGAGGCCCGCGGGCGCGCCGCTGGGTCACCACGTGGAGCGACCGCTACGCCAACTGCTAGCGCCGCCGGGGCACGGAACGCCGCCCCTGCCCCCCCCCGCCTACGCTCGGCCATCCTTCCCAGTCCTTCATCCTCAGCCCCTGCTCCCCCGTCCTCCCTACTCCCCACGGACGCTCCTCTGCTTCCCTGCGCGACGTGCGTCCCACCCTCAGCCGACCGGTCGTCCCGGATGAGCGGTTTCCGCCGGTGTCGTCGGCATCTCGTACGAGTCCGTCTTCGGCCCCGAGGATCTGTGAGCCGGCTTCTGATTGGACGATGTGATTTTTTTTGTCTTATTCTTCTTCTTCTTCTTCTTCCCTGAAGAAGCTGGGTCGTGGCCAGCGGTTCGACGCCTTGACATTCTAACTGCGCTGTTTCTACCGCGCTGCTTCTCTTGAAATCGTCCCCCGAGAACCATCTAGAACCGTCCCATGAAGGTTCCTTCGCAGGTTTCCTCCCGAACGTTCCGTCGATCTGTCGAACCTCTTCGCACTCCCCGCGTGAAGCCTCCCATCCCAGGAATTCCTCCCGGGAATGCTGTTTCCGACTCCTCACCTCGAAGCCTTCGAAGTGATCTCTTTGCAAGCCTAAGCCACTTGTAGCCTCGACGAAATTCTCAAGCCCTCACGGAGCTGCCGGCTTGGATCGACCCGGGTCGACTCCGTTGTGTCCAGCATTAATCCCCGACGACCGACGGACGAGGCTCTTGATTTAATCCACGTTCGATCGTCATGGCCCGAGTCAGTCCTTCATCGGGATTTGAACCCGTGGCCATCCGGTTGGCGAGTCAGGAACCTCCGACTACTGAGGAACACGTGCTTCAACTGCTTCACCAAATTTAAATTCCATGCCGGCTGACGTCGCCTGCGGCCCACTGATTGTGGTGCTTGCCGTGCAGTTTCGTTCATCCGAGTAAAACCCCCGCTGTGTGACCCGCATCTACCTCCAGTGACCACGGTTGGCGACGTACGGTGTAAAAGAAGTTCAACACGCACGCACGCACGCACGTTTAATTGACCACAGTGAGTGGCAGACTAATACCCGCTGGTGATTCTTGTGTTACCAACTCTCCCAGATTGGCAGGGGGAGTCTCTTACCAGATTATCTGTAATTATCTGTATCGATCTCCTCCCCTCCACCCCCCTCCCCCCCCCCACCCCGGATGACGATTGAAATGAATGCGGGAGATTTTAAGAATAATAAGATTTATTTATTTTTTACGAGAAAATAAATTAATCGTAGAAAAATAAAACCTCTCCAGGGATGGCTTCGGTCAGAGTTGGCTACCCAATTGCTTTTGCAAGTGAGACTCCAATCCCGGTCTCTGGTTCAACAGGAAACACTTTAACGGCAACAAACTAAGCGTACAAACGAGGAACCAATGCGGTAACGGGGCAACGTCTCGTTTAAGAAGCATCAGATGTAAACGTGCGACAATGCCTCCGTGCGTGGCTGCGCGAACGTTGAACTATCGCAAGCCAAATGTCAGTCTGGGCTCGAGTTTGATCGACCTGCCCTTCAGAAACCCTCGAACCCACCACAGCCCCAGTATATTTAAAAAATACAAACATACACGTGTAAATGTCCCTTCTTTTGCGCAATGGTCACATCGCGTGTTTTATCTGCCGCTCTGGGCTGCGGTGGCGACAGGGCACATCACCGGGGGCTTGCGGCGCACCGCGCGTTCCCTTCCGCACACGGCGAGACGCGAGGAAGTTCAACGTCTCCCCGGCCGTTCGATCCATCGACGTTTCATCTCGCGACGCCCGCTCTCTGCACGCACGACGCGTCCGCGCGCGAATCTTCGGATCGGCGTTGCAGGGCACCGGTTCCCCCGTCCCGTTGTTGTATGGGGCGGGTTAAACACGCGGCCACCGCAGCAGAGTCGGAATGTTTATTTACAGCTGGAGGAATCCGATGAGCTACGAAGCTCTTTTTCACGGATGTCCAGTCGGGGCACGGGGTCGGAACGTCACAACGACAGACGAGATAAAAAAAACACGCTAGGAGTGCAAAGCGTAAGAAAGGCAAAGAAAATCACACAGAAAAAAAAATCTACGAAATAACACTACATTATTTTTTTTTTTACTGATATAGCCCACTGAGCTATTAGCTTCTTTTTTCAGAAGCGACCTGGCCATCACGAATGGTAGCTCAAACGAGAAGTGGCTTATCACGTGGGAAGAATCGATTCTTGAATTTAATCGTGACCACGGTTCTTTGCGGCAATGCATCGAATCGTTACAGCGGGGGGGGGGGGGGGGGGGGGCGGGGGTGACGTAAACCAACTCGGTTTACGTCGCGGATCCGTTCCTAAAAGGTCCCGACGACGAATATCGAAACGACGTCAATCAAAGCGACGTCAATCAAAGCGATTTACGGGACAAGTAGGTGGTGGCGCTGGTGGAGGGCTGAGAGGCGACGGATAACGAGAGGGGACGGGGGAGATGAAGCTGTCCACGACGTGAGCGTGGCGGGGCGGGGGGGGGGAGAGTTGAGGCGACGCTAATCAGGTAGCGGCTTTAACAATGAAGTGACGACGTATTTGAGAAGCGACGTTGTGGGGGATTTCCGATCCTCGGTCACTAATTTGCGACACGCTGTGGCCCATAATCCGAGTACGCTTCGTTCGTGCCTCATTTGACTTGATATTTTTCCGCCGATTTCATTTATATTAGAAGTCTAATTGCTCCGGGGTGAGCCATTTAATGACGTCAAATGGCCAGATATATATATACGTGCACGTGCTGGCTAACCCCTGGCCCTGTTTTTCCCAGCGTCTCGTAAGGACGTGCCAACGCCACTATCGATGGGCCAATCGGTCTAAGACGCAAAACGCCAAGATTGTAAACTCTGCCCGAAGCGTCGTAATGGCACGGGCTGCACCCTGTTTAACCCTCCCCACCAGATTTGTCGTTGACTCGAGTAAAAACATCTCAAAGCTTAACTCGGCGAGAGGGCACGAGGTCATCATCCCAATTGTGTGTTGTCAAACCCCTTCCTCCACCCAACCAGCGCCGGTGAATACAAAGTGTCGCCGAAATGAAATGTGCCAAACGTACGTGAGCGGTGGTGTTGTTTTGTTTGTTGTTGTTGTTGTTGAGTAATCTCACGACAATTAAATCGTTACGGCGCATTCGATGGAGATTGCATCCATCATCGACAGGTTTTTGACGCGAGCTGGGATCTCGAGGCACGTGTTCACACGACCTAACAACGAAAATACGAATAGTATTGGCCGTGAAATAACAACGTAGAAAATGAACCGTCTAAGGTGGCAAACACTTTTTTTTATTTCATTTTCCTGGCTAATGAAGAGTGAATTATCTGACCAAAAACTCCATTCACTTCAAACGGTTATCGCTTCATTAACCCGTTATTGGCAACATCAAGGCCTTGGAAAACCAATAAGCTGACACGGCCTCGGCTACTACGGACGACTGTCGATGGGGGCTCGTGGAATTTGGACAATTGATGCCCAACAAGAGAAGGCGTTGGTTGCAAAAAAACAAAAAGTGTGGTTATTGAAGGCCCCCATTAATGTTGCGCTTGGGGTGGGACGGAGGTGCGGTGTGTGTACGTGCGTTGAACTTCTTTCGCACCGTACGTAGCCAACCGTGCCAATCGGAGGTGCGGGGGAAGGACAACAAACTACGCTGGAGAGACACGTGACCACGTGGGTGGGACTCGGCAGTGGTCTCCCGTCCGCCACGTGTTTGCGTGAAGTCTCGGGGGGGGGAGGCGGGGGGTGACGCTGTTCCACATTCGTCGCTGCGTCTGTGTGCGGAAGGGTCGATTAGGATCCCTGCGTGTGTGAAGAGACACGATGTTTGATTCTCGACCCGTGTGTTCTAAGGTCGCCCGCGAAATGTGTGTAATTTAACGTTCTTTTAGAGTCACCAAGATTGCGTAACATCACAAAGGAAATATATAATAGGTGGGTTTTTCCCTCTCACGGGGGAAAAACACAGGTGGACCATTTGAAATCCTGTAAAAGCCTTGGCGATGTTGAATCTCGGGTGACCGTATTCTCCAGAATATAAGACGCACTATACCACCGCGCCCTTCTACCCTCTTAAAAAAAATGTTACTAAAGTTAGGGGAGGTGGGGGAGAGTGGGGGGGGTCATGTAATCCGCTAGCCGTGTTTGGTTATCCGTCTGACTTTCTGGAGTCTGTCTTATAATCCGGAGAAAACGGAAAGTGTATTTTCTAAACATATCCACAGGATCGATGTAAAACGTTTCTCCAAATCCAATTATGGATTTAACAATGTTTAGATTGGTTTGTTTTTTTATATATGTAAAGAATGACATCGATGGGACCTTTTTTTATTTGCCCGAGAGGGTGAAGCCTATTACTTTTTTTCATCATAAAGGATTTACATTTATTTCTTTAAAAAAAAAATGCATTCGCATTCATGACATTTTAATTCAGTAACAAAAAAACGGTTATCCATAAAACATTTTTTTTACTTTTCTAAGGAGGAGGCGACGGTGTGGAATGTAACATTGTATTTGTTAGTTTCGGCCTAACCAGTTTTGTTTCTTCCGGGGTGACGGCGACGACGACGACGATTCAGGGTGGTAGAGAGAGATATTTTAAGCGTCGTCTCCGGCAGAGGGGTCATCAAACTCTCCTGAGTCCTGCCCCCTGTCGCAGACCCTCTGGGCCCACGTTTGAACGCGTCCGCAAATCGACAACTCGGATGCCTCGCGCGTCGCACAAATTCGCGCGCGCAGGAGTGGCGCGTGCGGTTGCTGGTGTCACGGCAGAGAGGCCCGCTGCTAGCCGAATCACATGCAATGTTCGAATTAGCAAGTGCATTTTAAATTTCGTCGTTTACAAAAAAACCCATGTCAGTCGCCGACGAGGCCCATTGGACAAACTGGAAGGCAGAAACAGCCAGGCGGTGAGCCGCCGCTACCAACAATTGCCCCAAGCTCTGCAGTCCTCCGTATATTCAGATGAAGTTCAATTTCAACGACCGTTTTTTTCAACGACGGAGATCGCAGCAGTCGGTGTGTGTGCGTGTGTGTTCAAGTTACGTTTCCCCCCCCAGTCGTCTGCAATTTCAATATACTTCGTCCATCTCTGTGGCAATGTGGACAGTCGGATTGGAGTCTGTGGGCATTGTGTGGTTGTGCAATACTACTGAAGACATCGTCACTGACCACAAAGTAATGCTTTTTGTTTTATTAAAATATGAAATGGTTACGATTTAAAGCAACAGAAATAATAACGAAACATGATACTGTATATGTGATTGTGAGAAATGTGTGTTTTTTTTTTGCTAAAGCATTGTAAATAGCGTGCAGGGTATTAATGTTGTTTTAGCTTGGTCTTATGCCACGTCGGAATCCGCAAGGATAAATCCACCTTGAGTGGTTGCTGTGTCTGCCGTGTTTAATACTCCGAAAGGATAGACGCTCGGAGCAATGTGCCGCAATTACTCCGCGTTGTGCCATTTTTTTAAATGATACTATATAATGCCGTGTGTGCTGTTATCACGCTATGACACCATGGCAGGCTCGGCCAAAGTGAACAGGGCCGCCCAGAGGTCGATGGCGGATAGGGGACAGACTTTTTCCCGGGTCTCACACAAAACGAGGACCTTACAGTGGGCCAGATTCATTGTCGCTAAGGATAATAGGCCCTCCACGTGGCATTCTATAAACTAAATGAAACTTTTTTTTTCATTAAAAACTCCCACTATTTTTATTTTACCAGGTAAGGCCCGCTGAGCCAATATAGTTATTTTTCACAAGCGACTTGGCTATCACAAATTATTGCTCAAAGAAGTGGCTAATCACTTGGAAATTTATAGAAGCCAAATACTCTAAACGCGTTGATTTCGATTCGAAATGCGGAGGGAAAAATCGGAGGACCCGGAGAAAAAATCCACGCGACCACGGGGAGAGAGAGAGAGAGACGGGCAAACTAAAAAAAATATATATATACAGCAGCAGGCGTCAGGGTCGGAATCAAACCCACGGCCTGCTGTATACCAGGCGAGGTAGCGAACATCTCCTCGCCACCGTGATGATGATGATGATGATCTCGCCGTGGCGCCCACGGTGGCGAGATTCTCCCCCAGGCCTCCAGCCGTGGGCCTCCAGAAACCTCTGGGCGACCCTGTTAGTGGGTGAATGGAAAATGTATCAGGCCCTCGAAAGCAAACCTATGGTAACAATAATCCTGACTGTAGTCATCATTTTCTATCCACCAGACGAACTCATGAGCAGTGCTTAGATTCAGCCGGAACATTCTGGAATCGCTATCCCGGGAGGGGGGAATTATTTTGTGGCATGCCGCAGCCATCTCGCCTTATTTTGTCCTCATAGGATTATAGGAAAAAAGGGCACGGTAACATAGGGTTATTGTGGGCTGTGAATAGGCGTGCCTTGTACTACTACTACTGCTACTACGAGTGGTTGCGTCTTACGCCGGTCATCCTTACTTTCAAGGCAGCCTCGCAGCGCCTCTTGGAGGATACCGGGCGAGACGTAGAACCCCGCTCGAGTGTACGTGTGGCCTGTTGGGCAGTGCGTCGTAGGGCGGCATCGGTAAATGTGGGGCGCGAACTTGAAACGCTCTCCGGTTCTGCTCGCGGATTTATGCGGCAGGACCACGCGCGTGTTTTTGCGACTTGGGCGGCCACTCCTCTCCCAGCGCCCCCCCCCCCCAAAAGGCCGAGCCTGAACCATGCACTGAATCATAGACCATAATGCATTGCATTGTATTGTTTTCATATTCATTGGGATGTGTGATGGGGAATGATTTGTAATAAATTAATTTTGTTTAGTTATTGATGGGTTTGCGTTTGATTTTCGGATTACTGTGGTGGTGGTGATGGTGGTGGTGTTGGTGATGGTGGTTTGTGTTGGCCAGACAACCTGAGCAGTACCCTCCTGAGAAGGAGGTTTGAGACTCGGAAGGGTGGCAGCACCAGTGGTAACACTCGTGCGTCACAGCAGGCAGAGCCTGGGTTTAATTCCCAACTCGGGTGCCCACTGAGCTATGAAGCTCTTTTTCAGAGGCGACATGTCTCTTACAAATTACAGCTCAAGGAAGTGGCTGATCACGTGGACACATCTAGCAGTCAAATAACTCTAAAACGCCTGATGTTGATTCTAAATGTGGAGGGGAAAAGTCGGAGGACCCGGAGACAAATCCGAACTCGGGTGCCTGTGTGGAGTTGATACAGTGAGGGAAAAAAGTATTTGATCCTCTGCTAATTTTGTACGTTTTCCCACTGACAAAGAAATGATCAGTCTATAATTTTAATGGTAGGTTTATTTGAACAGTGAGAGACAGAATAACAACAACAAAAAATCCAGAAAAACGCATGGCAAAAATGTTATAAATTGATTTGCATTTTAATGAGGGAAATAAGTATTTGTCCCCCTCTCAATCAGAAAGATTTCTGGCTCCCAGGTGTCTTTTATACAGGTAACGAGCTGAGATTAGGAGCACACTCTTAAAGGGAGTGCTCCTAATCTCAGCTTGTTACCTGTATAAAAGACACCTGTCCACAGAAGCAATCAATCAATTAGATTACAAACTCTCCACCATGGCCAAGACCAAAGAGCTCTCCAAAGATGTCAGGGACAAGATTGTAGACTTACACAAGGCTGGAATGGGCTACAAGACCATTGCCAAGCATCTTGGTGAGAAGGTGACAACAGTTGGTGCGATTATTCGCAAATGGAAGAAACACAAAATAACTGTCAATCTCCCTCGGCCTGGGGCTCCATGCAAGATCTCACCTCGTGGAGTTGCAGTGATCATGAGAACGGTGAGGAATCAGCCCAGAACTACACGGGAGGATATCGTCAATGAGCTCAAGGCAGCTGAGACCATAGTCACCAAGAAAACAATTGGTAACACACTACACCGTGAAGGACTGAAATCCTGCAGCACCCGCAAGGTCCCCCTGCTCAAGAAAGCACATATACATGCCCGTCTGAAGTTTGCCAATGAACATCTGAATGATTCAGAGGACAACTGGGTGAAAGTGTTGTGGTCAGATGAGACCAAAATGGAGCTCTTTGGCATCAACTCAACTCGCCGTGTTTGGAGGAATTCTGCCTATGACCCCAAGAACAACATCCCCACCGTCAAACATGGAGGTGGAAACATTATGCTTTGGGGGTATTTTTCTGCTAAGCAGACAGGACAACTTCACCCCATCAAAGGGACGATGGACGGGGCCATGTACCGTCAAATCTTGGGTGAGAACCTCCTACCCTCAGCCAGGGCATTGAAAATCGGTCGTGGATGGGTATTCCAGCATGACAATGACCAAAAACACACGGCCAAGGCAACAAAGGTGTGGCTCAAGAAGAAGCACATTAAGGTCCTGGAGTGGCCTAGCCAGTCTCCAGACCTTAATCCCATAGACAATATGTGGAGGAGCTGAATGTTCGAGTTGCCAAACATCAGCCTCGAAACATTAATGACTTGGAGAAGATCTGCAAAGAGGAGTGGGACAAAATCCCTCCTGAGATGTGTGCAAACCTGGTGGCCAACTACAAGAAACGTCTGACCTCTGTGATTGCCAACAAGGGTTTTGCCACCAAGTACTAAGTCATGTTTTTTACAGAGGGGTCAAATAATTATTTCCCTCAATAAAAGGCAAATCAATTTATAACATTTTTGACATGCGTTTTTCTGGATTTTTGTTGTTGTTATTCTGTCTTTCACTGCTCAAATAAACCTACTATTAAAATGATAGACTGATCATTTCTTTGTCAGTGGGCAAACGTACAAAATCTCTCCCCTGTGTGGGTTTTCTCTGGGTTCTACAGATTCCTCCTCCCATAGCTAAAAATAACACAAGGTCGTTTTCTCATTGGCCAAACATCCCAATGCTGAACTATTGCCTGCAATTTACTTGGTTGGGATTACACATTGCAACATCACACTTTGTGAAGACGTGGCAGGACCCTACTGAAAAAGGGACTTGAGACTCGGTAAAGGTTTCCTGGATAATCGAGAGCCATTGGTAGATCTATTCACAGCTGATTTTTCCAAAATAATCTGGTTATGATGCCTGTCCCTCAGCCAGGATCGAGCTTACCACAACCCCTATCACTACCCCTATCACTAACCCAACCCCTATCACAACCCCTATCACTACCCCTATCACTACCCCTATCACTACCCCAACCAATATCACTACGCCAACCCCTATCACTACCCCAACCCATATCACTACCCCAACCCCTATCACTACCCCAACCCCTATCACTACCCCAACCCCCATCACTACCCCAACCCCCATCACTACCCCAACCCCTATCACTACCCCAACCCTTATCACTACCCCAACCCCCATCACTACCCCAACCCCTATCACTACCCCAACCCCCTATCACTACCCCAACCCCTATCACTACCCCAACCCCTATCACTACCCAACCCCTATCACTACCCCAACCCCTATCACTACCTCAATCCCTATCACTACCCCAATCCCTATCACTACCCCAACCCCTATCACTACCCCAACCCCTATCACTACCCCAACCCCTATCACTACCCCAACCCCTATCACTACGCCAACCACTATCACTACCCCAGCCCCTATCACTACCCCAACCCCCATCACTACCCCAACCCCTATCACTACGCCAACCCCTATCACTACCCCAACCCCTATCACTACCCCAACCCCTATCACTACCCCAACCCCTATCACTACCCCAACCCCTATCACTACCCCAACCCCTATCACTACCCCAACCCCTATCACTATGCCAACCCCTATCACTACCCCTGTCACTACCCCCACCCCTATCACTACCCCAACCCCTATCACTACCCCAACCCCTATCACAACCCCTATCACTACCCCAACCCCTATCACTACCCCAAGCCCTGTCACTACCCCAACCCCTGTCACTACCCCAACTCTGATCACTGCCCATACTGCTACTCTCTGCTCCTACCTCCCTGCTACGACCAGGCTTACCCCTTCCCCTATCACCACTCCTAGGCCCTAGCACTACCTATTTTTTCTGTTGAATTTTCTTGCTGTGGTTTTCCCCACCTGATGATGTGTTGCTCGTATTGCAATCGAAACGTCGTGATTTAGTTAATTTTACACCCACGTGATGACTTTACCGAAAGAACCACAGAGTATGGATTCCTGCAGTCACGAAAGCTTCAAATCAAGATTGGCTCCTCACTGTTCACCATCAGCCACGATCAATCCACTGCTGGATGAAGGCCTCCCCAAGCAGTTACCCCCCCCTCCCTTTCCGTGAGTCCATCTAAGCATGACGATTGTGATTGTTGATATTATATTTCCAGTGTATATGGTGCTCTGTGTAAAAGACTAAATACAGGGCAGTCCTCTACTTACGATGGAGATGTGTTACGACGACCCCATCGTAAGTCAAAAATATCGTAAGTCGAAGATGGCCTAGCCTACCCAGGTGATAATTTAGTAAAACAGAGCAATTT